ATGGCTTCACTTATAGGAGGAATATAGGGGAACCAAATGAGGGACCAAGGGAAAAAATAATAACAACAATAAAAAACACACAAAAACCAAACAACAATAAAAAGACAACTACAAATCAGAGACATTCTGCAAGGGAGGGGGAGGGAAAGAGACCAGGGTGAGGACAGGAAGAACACAAGGGACTGTGGTGATGGTGCATGGGTGAATTGGTGGTGGAAATTCTATGGGGACTACACCTGAGAAAAAATTTAAAAAAAAAAAAAAGAAAATTTGCATATAGGATATATTTTTAATGGTATTCCATGGAGACAAAAAGTCACTCCAAAGAATCTTTTATTTTTCTAAACACAAAGCGGTCAGTCTCTGGCAGAACCTTGGAATCTGAGTTGCCTAGTAGGTGGGAATTTGTAAAGTGGGTATCGATGACACTTTCTTCTGAGACAATATTGCCAGAGGGCTTCGCAGTCTGCACGCCAGGGGCTCAATCTTCCTGAGTTTAGAGACAATTGAGAGCTATGCTGAGTGGAGAATGATTTATTCAGTGTGGGTTGACTTCTGCTTGTGGGAAATGATTAGGGGACTGATAGGTCACTTAAAGATTTTATTCTTGTAAATGCTGAAGCTATTACTAGCAAAAATCATCCCTTCAACAAGTATCTAGTGAGCTTCTGTGGAGGCATTTTCTCTGTTCTAAGGGATCCGATACTTTCAAATTTCATGAGTTCTCCACCTGCCCCCCTCCCGCATCACTTGCCATTTCATCCTGGGCTGCAGGAGCCCTCGGCCCTCCCTAGGAGGCACCTGAGAGCAGAGTTGTCTACAAAGTGAGACTCTGCTCACATTTTCCCACCCTATGTTTTGCCTCTTTCCTATCTCTGCCAGAGCAAGTCTTCTTTTCCTTTTTGACCTTTAAGAATGCTTTAATTAGAGAAAGAGTTCTATTGCAAGATTTGAAAACTGTAGTGTTCCTGCAGGAGAATGGACAGACTTTATCTCTCTCTCTCTATTGATGTAAGAGAGTGCAAAGACTAGATGATCATTTTCATCAGCTTGCTCTGTGTCAATCTAATTGACCCAAATCCTAAGCAGCACCATTTAAACCCACCTTTTCTTTTTTATTTCCTGGTATCCTAGGTAAGGCAGTATTTGAAGGGATGGCTGGAGGATGCTTTTGATATCATGGTATCTGAATTTCCATTTCTCATTTTTCTCAGCCATTCATTCTCAGCACAGGAAAGATTTAAGGGATGCGTGGAGTTGGGTTTTTCCTTTGAATAGAAAAACATACAGCAATATCCCTGAAAGTAGGGTCTATATATATTAAGACTTTTCCAAGAACTTTGTAAGAACTCTTTAACTATGCAAATGATGTTTGCAACATAATCTATTTTATAACTGGTACTTGGTGGTGGTAGGAGAATGTTTAGCAGTTTTATTTATGTGCCACAACATAATGAATAAGTACTTTATAAAAATGTTTTCTTATTAAACAATTCCATTCATAGGGTAGGGAGGGGAGGGGAGGGGAGAGGATTCTAATAGTTACATCCTGATAGTGAGCACTGACCTTATTTCCTAAGGAAGTGGAAAATGTGTTTGCTCCAGGTTAGTATGAGCCTTGAAAATACTATATCCCTGTTCACTTAGGAAGTAAAAGGTCATTATTAACATCATTATAGTAGCCAAAAGATAATTTCCTAAAAGAAGATTAGCAGGTAGTCTTAATTGGTAGTTTGACATGTGTGTATTAGTATATATCCAGTAATAACAGGAATATATAAGGCTAAAATTATGCAATCCAAATAATAACTAAGGAGATGGTTATTCTGTCTCTCTTTATTTTGTCTTAATAACTATCACCAGGAATATTTAAATCACTGTTTAGTTGGTTCTATAATTATTCATAAGGAGCCAAAGTGTTCAGAAAATATTTATTAACAGGATTCCTAATAGCACATTATTCAGCTTTATAAACAATTCTTTTGAACTTCATTTTCTTGGAGTGGGAGGGAGTGGGGGGTATATAATTTTATGAGGACTGGAAATAGAGTCTCTTGTTGAGAGCAGCCTCCATTTGATTATACATTATTTTAATTTAATATGTTTGTTGTTTACCATCTAGTGTCATTTCTTTCATAGTTCCATAAGAGCAGTGGTTCTCAATATGTTTGTTTTGGGAGTCAGGGCTCAGTAACAGTGGCTGACTTAGCAATGCTTGGGAGATGGGGTGAGGGATTAGAAAGGACCCTAAGTGATTCAGCTCCAATGCCCTCCTCTGAGGCTCACTGCTTCCAAGCTCTCTGCGCTGCTCTTCTGCCTTCTCTTATGTTGGGTTAGATTTATAACAGCTGCCATGGACATGGTTGCCTAAATCTGTGGAATGTTTTGCTAAATGTTGCTAGTGAAATAATCCGCATTAAGCCTGTAAACCCTCCCCCTCTTTTTAACCTACCCTTTATCCCTAGTCTTTTACCCACTTGATCACTTTATGATTTTACTTTGACATCCTATAGATTCATTGAGAACTTTTATTCCAAGCACCAGAGCTGTATTTACCATGATGAGTAGACAAAGCATTTTTTTGTTTGAGCTGAGTGATGACAATGTATTTGATTCGTGCCTTGTACCTGTTATTTTAAAAATCTAAGTAATGGGCATTTGGGCTGTTTCCAAAGCTTAGCTATTGTAAACAGTGCTGCTATAAACATAGGGGTGCAGGTGTTCTTTGGAATTGATGTTTCTGTGTTCTTTGGGTAAATACCTAGGAGTGGAATTGCTGGATCCTGTGGAAGCTCTATGTTTAGTAGGTCCAGAAATCTCCACACAGCTCTCCATAGTGGTTGGACCAGTTTGCACTCCCACCAACAGTGCAGAAGAGTTCCTTTTTCTCCACAACCTCGCCAACATTTGTTGTTGCTAGTTTTTTTAATATGTGCCATTCTCACTGGTGTGAGATGGTATCTCATGGTAGTTTTGATTTGCATTTCCCTGATTGCAAGTGATGTTGAACATTTTTTCATATGCCTGTTGGCCATTCGCATTTCCTCTTCAGAGAAGTTTCTTTTTAGTTCCTCTGTCCATTTTTTGACTGGATTATTTTCTTTGTTGTTGTTGAGTCTCATCAGCTCTTTGCAGATTTTTGTGATCAGTCCTTTATCATTAGTGTTGGGTGCAAAAATTTTCTCCCAGTTGGTGGGGTTTCTCTTTGTTTTTGTTATTGTCTCTTTTGCTGTGCAGAAGCTCTTTAATTTGATGTAGTCCCAGCTGTTTATCTTTGCCTTCACTATCACTGCTTTGGGTGATGCGTCTGCAAAGATGTCTTTGATATGCAAATCACGTAGTGTTTCGCCTATATTTCCTTCTATGTATTTTATGGTTTCAGGTCTTATGTCTAGTTCTTTAATCCATTTTGAGTTGATTTTTGTATATGGTGTGAGGTAGTGGTCAAGCTTCATTCTTTTGCATGTAGCGACCCAGTTTTCCCAGCACCATTTATTGAACAAACTTTCTTTGCTCCAATGCATAGTCTTTGCTCCTTTGTCAAAGATTAGTTGACCATAAATCTGTGGGTTTATTTCTGGATTTTCTATTCGATTCCATTGGTCTGTATGTCTGTTCTTGTTCCAATACCATGCAGTTTTGATGATTATGGCTTTGTAGTAGAGTTTGAAGTCTGGGAGTGTGATGCCTCCATTCCCTTCTTTTTTTTTCAGGAGAGCTTTGGCTATTCGGGGTTTTTTGTGATTCCATATGAATTTCATCAATAATTGTTCTATTTCTTTGAAGAATGACATTGAAATTTTGATTGGAATAGCATTGAATCTGTATATTGCTTTTAAAAATAGATGACTGGATCAAGAAGATGTGGTACATATATACCATGGAATATTACTCAGCATTCAAAAAAGATAAACACATGCAATTTGCAGCAACATGGATGACGCTGGAAGGGATCATGCTCAGTGAAATAAGCCAAAAAGAAAAAGAAAAATACCGGATGGTCTCACTCATAGCAGGGATCTAGAAAACTTAAATAAGGGACCAGGAAAATGAATAACTATAAGAAAGTGAAAATCAAAATCAACAAAAACTATGAACCAGAGACACTTTTTGGGGGGTGGGGGGCGGGAGGGGAGGGATTGGGGTCAGAATGGGGGGATTGCAATTGTATGGGGAATATAAAAATAAAATTTATTAATTAAAAAATAAATAAATAAAAAAAAACCATCCATTTTTACAAGGAAAAAAAAAAATCTAAGTAATGGATTATGATCTCATAAGAACATGGTCCAAGAAAATAGTAATACTTAAAACAGCAACCACTTAGAGGAAAATACGTTCCCCTTCACAGACCATAGGATCCTGTTCTGCTCAGATTTCCTGGTTCCCTTTGCTGTCCCATTTCTTTGTCCACTTGCCTTCCCCATCTCCTTCCCTGCTGCCTTAGGCCATCTTCACTGCAGCCTTTTAGTTCCTCCAAGTAACTTGGTACTTTCCTGCCTTAGGAATTACACTTGCTGTTCTCTCTACCTGGGAAGTTCCTCCACTGGCATTTTTTGGACAGGCTCCTTCAAGACTCCACCATAGTCTCAACTGTTTAGGAAGGCCTTCCCTGGCCTCAGTGAAAAAAGTCATCTCCCCACCCCTGCCTGATCACACAGATAATGTACATCATTGTCTCTCAGAGAATGCTATGTCCTTCAACATTAGGAAACCTATGTTATATCTCCTTGGTACTTGTCTGTCTTTCCTGCTGGACACCAAGCTCCATGAGTAGAGAGAAGACTATACCCGTCTCCTTCACCACTGCAACACCAATGCCATCCTGGCACCTGGCATTAAGTGGATGCTCAGTATGTACTTGTGGTTAAATGAAAAGAATATTCCAAGGTTCCAAATTTTCCTAAACTTATATCATGATATTCTAAACTTAGTACTTCTATTGTGACATTTGCTCTTCCAGTGGTTGAATTTAACCAAGCTATGCTGACTTTTCTCAGGCATATGAAAGATCAGAATAAGAAGGTGGCCAACCTCAAGCACAACCAACAGTTAGAAAAGAAGAAGAATGCTCAGTTACTGGAAGAAGTTCGCAGGCGAGAAGATAGCATGGCTGACAACTCACAGCACTTGCAGGTAAGTCCATGCTTCTCCTATGAAACCCTAAATAAGTGGAGATTGACTCTCTCTGAAATGTACCCATTGCTGTGGGAAAATGTGCAGAAACAGTGAGTGTGTTTTTGCTCGAGTCCAGCCCTGTTTTCCCAGGGAGCTCAATGGCATCATTTTCAAAATGGTACCCAAGAAAAACTGATTATGGAGGAGTCTGCTAATGCTGCAGAGTCTCTTGGTTCCTGTATCTTACCTTAAAAGGTAAGGACTGCATTTATGTGCTTGGCAATAAACTTAAAACCTAGAAATATCTTCCTTTGAGAATTATATTTAAGTCATTTTGGTGTTAGTAGAAGGGAAATGTGTGTGTATCATCACAGAAGGCACTTGGAAAAGGATGCATTAAGTTGATCTCAGACAGTTTACAAAACTGGTTTTTGTTTGTTCAAAACTCCAAGACACAGACAGGTCATTATTCTGTCTTCTCTGTTGAATATAGTTATCTCTGAATGGATAGCCCTATCTCGGAAACCAACCAACTGACTGAAAACACCAATTTTTCCTCATTAACGATCCCTATTTTTGGCAAAGGAGCTCTCCCCATGTGCTCAATAAAACATTCAAGCTAAAACAGGGTGTTCACTTTGAAGTTCCTTTATTTATTCCAGTGTGCCTTTAAACAGAACACTTGAAGTTCAACTTGGCTGGACTTCATATTAAATTTTGCTTATTAATTAGTGTCTTTCTCCTGTTATATATTAAGTTCCCTCCTTGGAGATAGAAGAAGCTAGATAATTTCAATATGTACTCACAGTTCATCTTTTTTAATTGACCAAAAATAAATAATTATTCCAAAGTAGAAAATATAAGGAAATACCTTGCACAAAGCATGGTTACATAGGGGTGACTTAGTCAATATTAGTTTTTTTTCCTGTGTCCTGGAGAGACTTTAATGGTGTCACTTAATCCTCTTTGCGTTGATGCCTGGTTCAGATAGCATAATGGTAGCATCATTTTTTTTTTTTTTTGGTTTAGTCCTGGGACCACTGTAGCACAAGTCAGTACCTTATTTAAATCTATAGTTTCCTCAGTGTTCTTGGTTAAATCATTTTTCAGAGTCTTGGGTCCTAGTTTCTCCATCAGTCATATTCAATGTTAGATTGGAGCCTACCGACTTAGATAACAGCAAGTAAAATTTGCAGAACCTTTTATTGCCTTGCCAGGCATCATTGTCATTTATTCCTCACATTCTTCACATCAATGTTGGTGATTTTACATATGGTAATACTGGAGTCTCAGAAAAAATTATAAGTGACTCCTAGGATGAGGTGGAGATAGATGTGAAGACAGGTCTCCCTGCCTTCAAGAACCGAATGTAGAGGAACAATAACTGTAGTATGGTACTCTTTATTGAACTTTTCAATATACTGGAAATTGTGCTGTATACCCCATGCAGCTATTTAATTCTTATGTCAGTTGGACTAGTCAGGAATCTTAGTTGCAAATGACAGGAACACAACTCAAACTGAAACAAATAAAATAGGAATCTGTAAACTCAATTAACTGAGAAGACTGGCAGTGGACTTGACACCTGACTATATTCAGATATTTAACAACATATCAGAATCTGTTTCCATCTACTCACAGGTGTGATTTGCTTTTGTGGACTTTGTTCCTAGGAAGGCTGCCAGAATGATGCCAACAATGGCTGCTAGTATTCAATGAGCACAGTTTCTCCAGGGGGAAGAGAAAGATTTTTTTAGTGGTTCTCTTAAGAGTTCAAAGAATGATAGTGTGTATAAATTAGCCAGAACAGGAGCAAGTCATGCAATCACCTGGCACCTAGAAGGGTGGGCATAGCTTTACCCAATTCCTATGGTGTGAGAGTAGGGACAGGTAACCTTTCACTAGAAAGAGAAGTTCTATTATCAGAAGAGGTAACAGGCAGGTAAAACCACAGGAGTATGTGCTGCAGTCACCATATGTGGTAGTTTAACTATTATGTCATTTGATATATGAGAAGAGTTCAAGAGATTAAATAATTTGAAAAATTATTTAGCTAGTAAGTGGGAGCACCCATACTCAAACCTGATTCTGACTATTTTGAAATGGTGAGAGTTCTGGAGAATTAAGAGAGGAAGGCAAGAAAATGTGATATAGCAGAGAATCTTCATGGAATATAGGTAGGATTTGGAGCTGAATGAGTTTGACATGGGAGGGGTTGAACAGTGGGGAAGACCCTTCAGGCAATAGAACTGTCAGCAAAGGCACAGTGTTTGCATAGAGCAAGATACAGTCAGGGCATAAAACAGACATGCCAATTGACCCTGGTGGCAGTGACCTAACTGTTGTTATATCTGGAATTAGAATTCCTAGGATTCATTCCAAGCTTCAAAACTTACTAGCTGAATGTTTTGGGGGTTACTTACCTCCTTAAGTCTTAGTTTTCTCATCAGTAAAATGGGAATTATAATTGCCTGCAGCCCAGAGTTGTGAGGACTGAGGAGCCAATACATACAAAGAATTTAGAGTTGTACTTGACACCAGCTGTACTCAAAATAAATGTTAATGATTGAATGTTACAATAATAAGGAAATGGGAGAAAGAAATATTTTCAGAAAGTGTTTTTAATTATATGTATGAGTATTTTATAGTCCTACTCTGATAATACACTGAGGATCAATGTTTCTGTCATTTCTGTAATAATAATTTTTTTTCTTTTTTAAGAACACATCTAGTTATGGAAATTAATGCTTTGTTTTGGCCCATGAACTTTTGTCTAGCAATATTTTCATGGGGAACTATGATAACTACCTCATAGACCTGTTCATAAAAGATAACATGGTCTGGAATTGCTTAGTTGCATTCCTGACCACCCCAAATAAAGGATAGGATTTGAAATGTAATAAAAATTAATCATGATTAATTTTGATGAAAATGTCTCTGGTTAAGGTTAATGGAGAGTAAAACTCCCACTTTCCTGGATTGTTAAGCAGATGTACTCAGATGCAGTAATTATTGCCTCTGAAGACAAAACTTTCCTTTCTGGGGGCACTTGATTTTTTTTTTTTAATATTGCTGTTGTTTTAAATAACTCCTGCTTATGACTTAGCCTGGTAAGTCCTTTAAGTGTCAGTCAATTAGGAGCTGGTTGTTTGGTTGGTTGGTTGATGATTGTGGGATTGGCATCTATTAAAACTGATTTAGCCTATGCTAATATTTTCTAATAATTGGATGTCCTGACATCCAACCAAAAAGATATTATAAATATCAGATTGAGTATTGTGTGCAACGATTATGACTATTGGCTCAGACTCCAAAAAGAGATTGGTATGAAAATTGAAGACACATTCAAATGTAGGTGGAGTGGCCTTGCTCTTTGGATATTATCAAGCCAGAACATACCAATAAGCAAAAAGTGGCCCATTTCAGGTTTATAGATATATTGTCAGACTGAGAAATATTCATAAACCCAACCTTCTTTAGTTCTTAAGTTTATAGTTTTATGGAAAGATTGCAAACTCAAATACCTTCAGGGTCTAGGACATTAACATAAATAAGAAACAGGTTTGCATGTAAGAAAAATTATGATGTCTTATTCTATCAGTTTGTCTTTTATCTTTTTTTTTTTTTAATTTTAGTAGAGATGTATCAGTTAGCAATTGCCATAATCCTTGTGGGAAGTCATCCCCAAATGCAGACTTCAAAACATTGATCATTATCCTCACAGATTTCAGGTTGACTGAGTGTCTCTAATACTTTCAGATTTTTTTGAGTGGGCACCTGTGCTTCTCCCTCATATCTGTGGGTGGATGGAACAACTCCCTTCTATATGTTTCTGTGTTGAGACTCAAAAGGGCCATCAACACTCAGGAGAAAGTCTTCTGGTGACTCTAGCAGAGCACATGAGAGTAAGCCAAAAACATGAGACATCATATATGGTTTGGTTTTGAATTAACACTGTGATTTTAGTGCTACTTCATTGGTCAAAACAAGGCACAAAGCTCAGCTGTTAGTCGAGGAATAGGGAAATGTACTCTATCCAAGAAGAAGACATAGTAAAAGGGCAATACAAGGAGAGGTAAAGAATTGAGACAAATCATCCAACCTATCAAAAGAATTCTTACATTATAAATAAGTGATGTTATAATAAACTCATAAATATGATGAAAAATTACCATTGCAGTGGCCTTGATGTATAGATATAACCTCTTGGGAAACTAGAGCCCACGCCTCATTGACAGGAGTTGGGACCAGTAAGCTTTGGCTAATTATTGCTATAAAGGTGGGTCTGGGACTGAGGGACCTTGTGATTGTCATAAAATGTAAGTTTTTATGTGAAGTTTATGGATTTTAAAAAGCTACTTCAGTTTTTAAAACACTCTGCATGTTCAATGGAGCATATGTGCAGGTGAATTGACCATTGGTTTGCAGCCTCTGTGGTGTAGCTTCACACTCAAGCCCCCCGGGTTTGCAGGACTTGGGCAAAGAATGCACCCCAGCTTGCTCATATTGACCCATTGACAAGAGGGGGCACTTTAGTCTATTTTCCCTGAGTCCCTTTATTTTTTTGTGTGTGAAAATGCCTTGAATTATTATTTTTCAGAGGAAGTACCCAGAACCTATAGGAATATAGAGTGCTGTTAATTAAATGTCTTAATTTTTTTTGTGTGTGAATTGGCAAAGACAGCAGAAAGGGAAAGACAAACAAAGGACCATGGAATTGAACTGCATAGTGTTCAAATACAGGTCCTTATTATTATTATTAGGCAGAGAATCTCTATGACCCTTTTTTATGTGTAAGTGGACATTACAGTTTCTACCTCCCTGGGTGGGTTAAATATGATGAGGTTTATGTTGGAGCCTCGCACAGTTTCTGATCTATGTGGGTTTCAGTTACTAGAGCTTTCTCCCAGAGAGACTGATAATGCACTTTTAACAGTGGAAGACAGTGACCATTGGGAGTATCGCCCAACAAACGCTTTGCAACTACTTTTTACTGATGAGTAATGCAGCTATAGAGC